TGACCTTAGATGAACCCCTTTGATCAGGGGGTTAAAATGAGCAGCTGATTAAAAGAATGTGAAGGAGATTTAAGTTAAAAATTAACCCTCTGGGAAACCGAAAAGCAGACGTGCGACTTTATTTTTAATTTTTATTTTGCTAAGAAACCTCGGTGTGGAGGTAAGCACATTTTCACTCTGCTTTGAATGTGCAATTCTATCATCTACCTTTGGCTGAAAAATAAAAAAAAAAAAATGGACCCTCGCTTCCTCCTTTAGTCCAGCTCCACATCACTTCCTATCTCCACACCCATTTCCACCTCCCCTTCCTGCCCCACATCCTGTTTATGGCTTATGGACAGGGGTGGGGTGGGGGATGCCTAGGCAGTTGCCTCCCCCCCCCCCTTCCTGACCTCTTGGCTTTTTTCTATTTTGTCCCAAAGTCTTTGGTCCAACCAAAGACTTGTCCAGCTTTGGCAACTTGGCCACATCTGTAGACCTCAATTCCCTGATTCCCCCCCCCCCGAAATCCAGCATTAGATTTATTTCTGCTGGAATAAATAGGAAGGCTGAGCAGTGAATCAGCAAGAGATTGGACTACCTGCCTGGACTGTTGTTCTTTCTGATTAGGTCTGCACGGACAGGATGAAATCCTAAAACCCTACCTAGCACTGCCTCTTTCTCATTTAGAAATTATTGTCTACATGGCTCAGCCTGAGGGAGGTGTTCTAGAAGTAGGAGTAGAGTAGTAACAACGACAGAAAGCAGAGAAAACGTGAGAATTTATTTTCAGACTGACCTACTTTTTTACTGGATGCAGTCGTCAAAAACTCTTCAGGACAAAGAAGGTCCTACAATGATTTTTCTCTCCCTGTGTATGGGGTGTTTTCTTCCATGTTGGGGTCCTCAGAAACGGGGTGGAGCAGTGTGGCTTAACCTCAGCAGGAGAACCACCCAGCACAGAGAGCAGCAAGGACTCCATATTCCTCCTCCTCCTCCTCTCCCTCCTCTCTGTAAATCCCACTCCCTTCTAGCACTGATGATGTTACCTAGTTGGGTCATGAAACGTCTGTAAGAAAACAACCCAGCTCAGAGCACAAAGGAACTTACAGTCCTTTCCTCCTCCTCCTCCTCCTCTTCCTCCTCCTCCTCCTCCTCCTCTTCAACCGCACTCCCTTCTAATACTGATGATGTTACCTAGTTTGGTAATGAAACGTCTGCAGGAGAACCACCAAGCTCAGAGAGCACCAGGAACCCCACAGTCCTCTCCTCCTCCTCCTCCTCCTCCTCCTCCTCCTCCTCCTCCTCCTCCTCCTCCACCAATCCCTACTCCCTTCTAGCACTGATGATGTTCCCTAGTTGGGTCATGAAATGTCTGCAAGAAAACCACCCAGCTCAGACAGCACCAAGGACCCCACAGTCCTTTCCTCCTCCTCCTCCTCCTCCTCCTCCTCCTCCTCCTCCTCCTCCTCCTCCTCCTCCTCCTCCTCCTCCTCCTCCTCCTCCCACTCCTCTCTGTAATTCCCACTCCCTTCTAGCACTGATGATGTTATCTAGTTGGGTAATGAAACGTCTGCAAGAAAACAACCATGCTCAGAGAGCACCAAGGACCCCACAGTGCTCCTCCTCCTCTTCCTCCTCCTCCCTTTCTCCTTCTCCTCCACTCAAAACACCCACTCCCTTCTAGCAATGATGATGTTACCTAGTTGGGCAATGAAACGTCTGCAAGAAAAGAACCAAGCTCAGAGACCACCAGGGACCCCACAGTCCTTACTTCCTCCTCCTCTTCTTCCTTCTCCTCAACCCCACTCCCTTCTAGTACTGATAATGTTACCTAGTTTGGTAACAAAACATCTGCAGGAGAATCACCCAGGGTTAACACACTACAGAAGCTGCAACATGCTTGACCTCCCCTAGAATCCCTTCTCTGACGGTTCCCAAGCAAATGCAGTCATCCCGGGAAGATTCTTCTAACTCAGCGGTTCTCAACCTGTGGGTCGGGACCCCATTTGGGGTCGAACGACCATTTCACGGGGGTTGCCAAACAACGCAGTCCGCCATTTTTTTCCTCCTTTTCCTTAGCTGTGCTACTCCCTCTTATTCTATTGGCTTTTGAAAGCCAATAGAATAGACTCTCTTGAATAGAGTCTACTTCTATTGGCTTTCAAAAGCCAATAGGAATTGTCCAGGCTGTCTCTGCCCTGCTGAGCCCGCCAAAAGTCCCAGTCTGCAAACGGTGCTGCACCAGTTGAGTAGTCCTCGACTTACGACCAGTTGAGTAGTCCTCGACTTACGACCGGTTGAGTAGTCCTCGACTTACGACCGGTTGGGGGTCGCGGCATTAAAAAGGTTGAGAATCACTGTTCTAACTCAAGGGAGTAACTTTGGGACTATTCACTAGGGCTCTTTGTGCCTAGCACACTTTGCTCAAGGCACAAAGAGGTAAAGGGGCAGAAGAAGCACCAGTTCCTTCATGGAAGCCTCCGTGGCCTTCAACGGGAAAGCTGTCCTCTCTACTCACCTGCCTTCTCTAGATCGGTCCATGGAGTCAAACTGCTTCCTCAACCATCTGAAGAAGAAAGATGAGAGGTCACAGTTTTAGAAAGCGATACATAGGCAGAATGACACAGTTGGAAGGGACCTTGAAGGTCTTCTACTCCACCCCCCTGCTCAAGCATTTCAGACAAATGGTTCCGATCTCTTCTTGAAAACCTCCAGTGATGGAGCACCTACAACTTCTGGAGGCAGGTGGTTCCACTGGTTAATTGTTCTCCCTGTCAGGAAGTTTCTCCTTAGTTTTCAGTTGCCTCTCTCCTTGATGAGTTTCCATCCGTTGCTTCTTTATGATTTGCTTTGCGCTGAAGCTCCTCAGCTATCTTCAGAGGTGATGAAGACTCTTGTTCCATTGCAAAGTTAAGAATAATTTATTGCTCGGGTTAGTGTTCTGGGGTTGGAATGGGGAAGGGGACAGAGAAGTATGAGTACTGCTTTATAAATCCGTAGTAAGGCCACACCTGGAAGACAGCATCCAGTTTTGGTCATCACAGTGCAAAAAAGATGTTGAGACTTTGGAAAAAGTGCAGAGAAGAGCAAAGAAGGTGATTAAAGGCCTGGAGACTAAAACATACGAAGAACAGTTGCAGGAATTGGGGATGGCCAATCTGGAGAAAAGGAGGACTTGGGGGGGGGGGAACATGATAGCAGAGTTCCAGTATCTCAGGGGCTGCCCCAAAGAAGAGGGAGTCAAGCTATTCTCCAAAGCGCCTAAAGGCAGGACAAGAAGCAACGGATGGAAACTGATCAAGGAGAGAAGCAACCTGGAACTAAGGAGAAACTTCCTGACAGTTAGAACAATTAACCAAGGGAACAACCTGCCTCTGGAGGCTATGAATGCTGCAGCACTGGAACTTTTTAAGAAGAGACTGGACAGCCAGTTATCTGAAATTGTATAGAGTCTCTTGCTTGAGCAGGGGGTTGGACTAGATGACCTCCAAGATCCCTTCCAACTCTATTCTGAATGAAGGAATGATCCTTTCCTCTCTGGTAAACTTTGAGGAGGAACATGAAGAGTGTTAGTTAGCCATTCTCGGCCTCAGGAGAAGGACACATACATGATAGCAGTGTTCCAATATTTGAGGGGCTGCCACAAAGAAGAGGGGGTCAAGCTATTCTCCAAAACACCAGAGGGAAGAACGAGAAACAATGATTGGAAACTGATCAAGGAGAGAAGCAACCTGGAACTAAGGAGAAACTTCCTGACAGTTAGAACAATTAACCAGTGGAACAATTTGCCTCCAGAGGTGGTGAATACTCTGACACTGGAAGTTTTTAAGAAGAGACTGGACAGCCATTTGTCTGAAATGGTATAGGGTTTCCTGTCTGAGCAGGGGGTTGGGCTAGATGACCTCCAAGGCCCCTTCCAACATTATTATTATTATTATGGATCATCGCACAGTCAGCCAGATGTTCAGACTGGATTTGGCATTTTGTCTACCTATCGAGTCCTTACCCAGGACCTGGGATAGGCAAATGTGGATGTTTGATGGTATTACAAGTATCATCGCAGGATGGAAGCAGTTGGCTAGAGGAAGACCCTCTGGAGTTATCCTGCTTGAGCGGGGGGCTGGACTAGAAGACCTCCAAGGTCCCTTCCAGCTCTATTCTATTGTAACTGACCAAAGAGAGAAGCAACCTGGAATTAAGGAGAAACTTCCTGACAGTGAGGACAGTCAACCAGTGGAACAGCCTGCCACCAGAAATTGTGGGCGCTCCACCATTGGAGGAATTATAAGAGAAGACTGGACATTCACCTGTCTGAGATGGTATAGGCTCTCCTGCTAGAGCAAGGGGCTGGACTAGAAGACCTCCAAGGTCCCTTCCAGCTCTATTCTATTCTAAACTCTTAATCTGGGACCACTGTCTTCATCCATTCCAGGTGAGTCTATTCCAAGAAAGCGCCGGATTGAGTGGTGTGCCCTCATCTGCTCCAAATTCGGTGACTATCGGTGCTCTGCCCATATTTTCTCCTGCTGGCCCATACCTTTCAGCCTGGAGAGGAGTGGGTGATCGCTGCGTATCCGTCACCAGCCAGTTCAGCCCGGCCACCCAGAAGGTCACGTCATCCTCGCAAAAAGCTGGAGAAGACAAGATCACAAAAGGTGAAGGACAATCGACGGATGAACGTCTCCTGGAGATCCTGGCCCACAGGAAGGAAGGAAGGGCTAACACAGAAGCCTCCATCTTGGCCAGAACTTGCTCTTCACATTCCGTATCTACTGCGTGTCTAGGTTCATGTAACAAGCTAAGCCTATAACCCTAGTTAACCAAATCCCATTCCTACATTCACGGGTCCTGAGATGGCCCGATAATACAATATTAAGCCATCAGGGGTCCAACGCGGTTTCTATAATAAGCGATTGGACCACAAGCTACCCAATCCCTGTTTTAGCCGCTAACCTAGATAGTTGTGAGAAATGACTTTATCTTCAACACTTATCCTTTCAGTCGCAATCAATTTGTGGTTGGGTGGTCTTATCAAAATATGAAAACAGATCTGCTATTGCCAAGAAAGCTGTCTAATGGGGATTAATGAATCAAGATCAGGTGAAGGGTTAATACCACATTACAAGGCCTTGGTAAGGCCACACTTGGAATCCTGCAGCCAGCTGTGGTCACCACGATGTAAAAAAGATGTTGAGACTCTAGAAAGAGTACAGAGAAGAGCAACAAAGATGATTAGGGGATTGGAGGCTAAAACATATAAGGAACGATTGCTGGAATTGGATGTGTCCAATTTAATGAAGAGAAGGACGAGGGGGGACAGGATAGCAGTCTTCCAGTATCTCAGGGGCTGCCCCAAAGAAGAGGGAGTTAAGCTATTCTCCAAAACACCTGAAGGCAGGACAGGAAGCAATGGCTGGAAACTAACCGAAGACAGAAGCAACCTAGAACTAAGGAGAAACTTCCTGACAATTAGAACAATTAATCAGTGGAACAACCTGCCTACAGAAGCTGTGAATGCTCCGACACTGGGAATTTTTAAGAAAAGATTGGACAGCTGTTTGTCTGAAATGGTATAGGGTTTCCTGCCTGAGCAGGGGGTTGGACTAGATGACCTCCAAGGCCCCTTCCAACATTATTATTATTATTATTATTACTACTACTACTACTACTACTACTACTACTACTACTACTACTACTGCCTAGGTGGTTTTAACGACTCTCAATGTTAATGACGGACTGATTGAAAACAGTACAGATAGTCCTCGAGATAATAATAACAACAACAACAACAACAACAACAACAACAATATTGGAAGGACCTTGGAGGTCTTCTAGTCCAACCTCCTGCTCAGGCAGGAAATCCTACTACACCATTTCAGACAAACCAGTTACAGCCATTCGTTTAGTGACCGGACAAAGTAAAAACAGCACTTGAAAAAATTGACTTAATGAGTGTTTTTCACACTTACGACAATTGCAGCCTCCCCAGGGTCACGTGATCAAAATTCAGACTCTGGGCAATTGGCATGTACTTATGACGGTCGTAGGGTCCCTGGGGTCATGTGATTCCCTTTTGTGACCTTCTGTCAAGCAAAGTCAATGGGGGGAAGCCAGATTCATTTAACGACTGTGTGACTAATCGAACAATGGCAGTGTTTCGCTTAACGACCGTGGCAAGAAAGGTCATAAAACGAGGCAAAAATTTGCTTAACAACTGACTTGTTTTGCAAGAGAAATTTTGGGCTTAAATTGTGGTCATAAGTCAATGTCAAGGTATTGATTTAACAGCTAACCAGCTTGTGTAATGTAAGATATAAGATGTAATGATGGGAATGACTCAGCAGGGTCTGCGCTCTTTAAGAGCCATTGTACAAAGGGAAAGCTCTGCTTTGTTCGCTCTCTTCCATTTCTTGCTGTAACTGTGGTTTGTTGAATCCTGGTGTATTAGCATGTGTATGCATTTTGTTCCTGGTGTATGATATTGCAGATAGTGTCAGACAAACCACCATTTAATATAGACCACCGTTTACTGTGTTTACTCCTGGGTTATCTCGTGCAATAAAATTGTGCACGCTCTGACAGTTGAGGATTCTCTATAGTTGTTGTCACTGTGTCCAATTTTATGACTTTTTTTATTTTTTGGGCACAGCTGTAATGAAAATGTGAGCAACTGTCCTGTGTTTACGACAATTACAGCATCCCGGGCTCATGTGAGTGCACCTTTGCATCTTTCCCAGCCAGCTTCCAACAAGCCAAGTCAACGGAGCAAACCCGTTGTAAGTATGGTTCACTTAACCACGGTGAATCCGTTTAACATCCAGGGCAAAAAAAAAGGCCATCAAATTGGGCTCAAATGACATATCAACCTCCTGGTTTAGCAGTAGAAATTCCAGCCCCAACTGAGGACTCTCTGTATGTTGCTCAGAATCACAATTTGTCAGTGGGGAGGCCTAACACCTTCTCTAAATAAAGGCCTCCATAAATTCATTTTTTTCCAGTTATGTAGCAGGCAGATCCAAATATTTCTCTTCCGAGGAATTTTGAGCCTTTTCTGTTTTACAGAGAGAACTGTCTCGCAAAGGGGAAAACCGGAAAGAACTTCGATTCTATCTTAAAAACAATGCCTTAAAACTGCACTCAGGTACACCACACCCCTCTGAGTTGTGTTAGTCACGGGAAGTTTATTTGTGTTGGCTCACAGCCACTGAGAGCCACCGGCATCTTGCCAAAAACCGAGTCAAGAGCTAGAAGCAAATCAGACTAAGTAACTGCAAAGTCTGAAGTTGGAGATTAAACCAACCCATTTAAAAAAGAAAACAAGCTAATGAAATCTTCTTTCCCAAAAAATACTAGAACAAAGAAGCAGAATTAAATAAGTCTGGATTACGCTTAGTCCTCAAATTGCAAAGGCAATGGAGCACAACGTTTCTGCCGCTAAGCGAGAGGTTTGTAAAGTGAGTTTTACTCCATTTTTTGCGACCTTTCTTACTGTATTTGTTAAGGTTGTCAAGTGAATCTGACTTCCCCATTGACTTTGCGGGTCGGAAGGTCGCAAAAGGCGGACCCCATGACCTTGGGACACCGTCATAAATATGAATCAGTTGCCAAGGGTCTAGATTTTGATCACGTGATCTGGGGAGGCTGCAACGGTTGTAAGTGTGAAACACGGTCATAAGTCACTTTTTTCAGTGCTGTCGTAACTTTGAATGGTCACTAAACAGTTGTAAATTAAGGACTACCTGTATGGTCTTAAGCGTGTTGTCAAGGGCAGGGGTCTTCCAACTTGGCCCTTTTATGACTTGTGGACTTCAACTCCCAGAATGCCTCAGTCGGCCATTCTGATGAAACTGCGGGCTTGGATCCAGACCAGGGGTCTTCCAACTTGGCCCTTTTATGACTTGTGGACTTCAACTCCCAGAATGACTCAGTCGGCCATTTTGATGAAACTGCAGGTTTGGATCCAGACCAAGGTTCTTCAAACTTGGCCCTTTTATGATGAGGAATTCTGGGAGTTGAAGTCCACAAGTCATCAAAGGGCCAGTTTGAAGACCCCTGGTCAAGGAGAGGCATTGCACATTTAAGAATCTAAAGTCGCTTCTGAATTCAGGATTTATAACCCCATAATTAATGCAGGGAAATTGAGTTGAAGTCTACACATCTTAAAGTGGAAGAGAAGCATTGATTTAATTCCTTACAAAACTCAGAACTATTGGGGGTTATTTCTCATCCTGTGAAAATTCATTAGCGCATTTTTCTTGCTTACCAAAAAACGTTCGCCTCATGTTAAGATTCATAATTCTCTGTAAATACATTGCCCTTTATTTAATTTTGTCCTGGAGAAATATTTCATTCTCAAAAAATCCCACCAAAGGCTGGCCTGCTAAGGAACATGAGTGACCAATTCTCCTTTTTTTAAAAATTCAATGTATTTTAGTCACCCGGCTTTAGGGAAGTCGGTGGTTGCTTCCTTCTGCATGAACCCATGGGAAAAAAATGCAGATAAGGATTTCAAAGCAAACAAAATGAGGATTAATAGAGCCAACTCATCGCTGTTAAAATCCTGGGAAATTTATTGTAGGGAAATGATGATGCTTAAAAGGGCTAAATTATAAATCATAAATCAGGTTGGCATGTTCTAGCTGTCACAAAACTCTAGCCAATCTATGATACGGGTCGTTCTCGACATACACACATTCGTTTAGTGACTGTTTAAAGTTACAATGGGTGCTGAAAAAAAAATCTTATGATCAGTCCTCACACATATGACCATCACAGCAATCCCCCGTGGTCACATGACTAAAATCCAGGCGCTTGGAAACCAGGATAGATTCATTTAACGACCCCATGATTCCCTTAACAACTGCAGTGACTCACTAAACTGTGGCAAAAAAAATTGTAAACCGAGGGGTAACCTCACTTAATGACTGCCTTGGTTGTTAAGTGAAGCTGGCTTCCCCAATTGACTTGGCTTGTAGGAAGGTCGCAAAAAGGGATCAGGTGAACCCGGGGATGCTGGAACCGTCATAAATAGGAGCCAGTTGTCAACCGGCAAATTTGGATCACGTGACCATGTGGATGCTGCGACGGTCCTAAGTGTGAAACACGGCCATTGCCTTGCTCCGCAATGGAAATTTGGGGCTCAAAATTTGGGACTGCCTGCTCATCGTTGGCTTTGCAGCTCAGCTTTTAAAAGTCGCTTAATGGCCGCAATGATTCACTCAATTGTAGCAACAGCAGGTAAAATTGGAGGCGATTCTCTTAAACCGTCTTGCTTAGCAGTGGAGATGCTGGTTAGTATTGTGGTCGTAAGTCGAGGACCTCGTATAGAGACAGCTAAAGAGGGCCGGTCTCTTTTCCGCTAATCCTGGGAGCCCACAACAAACGTGGGTATAATTTAAGACACGTGAGACAGCGAGCTATTACTAGGAGACGCAATCTGTAATCTACGCTACTTAGAGCAGGATGTAATCAAAGTCAGGGGGTATTTACTTGGCTAAAAACAGCAATTAGATCAGAGAAGGGTGCAGCCTACTCCAGAATTACACCAAGCCAGACTTCCCCAACTGATGTGTTCCAGATGTCTTGCGATAATCCTCCCCAAATCTGCAAATCTCTCTACTCATCAGGAAGCACCAGGTTTGGGGGGAAAATGTTCTAACCGTTGTCATTTTTTTTTAATTAAATTTTTTTAAAATTTTACAATAAAAACCCTTTCCCCAATCCCTCCCAAACCTCCCCAAAACCCTCCCCCATTCTTCCCAAAGCTGAATACAGGCGTAACTGGAACTTAAAAGAAAAAAAATTTTTAAACCCAAATAAACCTTAAACTAATATCATTACACTCAATAAACAAACCGTTGCCATAATTTTGACATGAATGGGTCAATGTCTAGGGCAAGGGTAGGCAACCTTGGCTCTTTTATGACTGGTGGACTTCAACTCCCAGAATTCCTGAGCCAGCCACGCTGAGGGGAAAGGGAGAGGTTCCCAAGCTGAGCCATGGTGGCTCAGGAATTCTGGGAGTTGAAGTCCACGAGTCATGAAGGGGCTCAGGCATTCTGGGAGTTGAAGTCCACGAGTCATGAAGGGGCCAAAGTTTCTCCCATGAGGCTCAGGAATTCTGGGAATTGAAGTCCACGAGTCATGAAGGGACCATAGTTCCCCCATGCTGGCTAAGGAATTCTGGGAGTTGAAGTTCACAAATCATGAGGGGGGCCATAGTTCCCCCATGCTGGCCCAGGAATTCTGGGAGTTGAAGTCCACCAGGCTTAAAAGAGCCAAGGTTGTCTACCCCTGGTCTAGGGAGATTCTGCGTTATCCAGGTCCCCAGGTTGTCCCAAAGATGCTTTTTCTTTTTTTCCTCCCAAAAAGGCAACTGGACTTTCTTGGTTTTTCCTTGAGGATGTTTCCCTTCTCACCCAAGAAGCTTCTTCAGTTCCGTTCTGCACCATTCAGTCAGAACTGAAGAAGCCTCTTGGATGAGAAGGGAAATGTCAAGGAAAAATCAGGGAAGTCCAGTGGACTTTTGAAAAAAACCCTTTGGGATATGGATGGGTATTTTTGCATAACTGATCCATGCTCACAGGCTGGCAGGACACAGCCGAGAGAGACCGTGTCCCCTTGTCTTCAGAGCCTGGTTTCATTAGTCCAGTTGCTTCAAAGGAGGCCATGATGTCCCTCAAACCTTACCTGACACCCCCTTCCCCACCACAGGGACAATAATAAGGAAGGAAAATCTGGTGATCCCGTGACAGCACCCCCACAACTTCATTATGGTCCAATCATATCAGCCCCAGCTGTCTCTAATCCCTTGGAAGCCCCTAACCCAGTGTTTCTCAACCTTGACCATTTTAAGGCATGTGGACTTCAACTCCCAGAATTCCACAGCCAGCATTGCTGGCTGTGGAATTCTGGAAGTTGAAGTCCACATGCCTTAAAATGGTCAAGGTTGAGAAACACTGCCCTAACCCATGTGGCTGTGAAGCCATCACAACGCAAGCAGCCATGGAGATCACGTCTAGAGAAGCAACTCTCGGTTGCAACTGCTGGTCAACTGGTCAGACCAGATGGCTGAGAAGTTACCCTCACTTCAAAAAAAGACCACATTGCTTTGGGAAGAGGGAGTCAAGCTGTTCTCCAAAGCACCTGAAGGTAGGACAAGAAGCGATGGAGGGAAAATGATCAAGGAGAGAAGCAACCTGGAACTAAGGAGAAACTTCCTGACAGTGAGAACAATTAACCAGGCGAACCACTTGCCTCCAGAAGCGGGAAATGCTCCAACACTGGAAGTTTTTAAGAAGAATGACTGGACAGCCATTTGTCCGAAATGGTATAGGGCAGTGATGGCGAACCTTTTAGAGACCGAGTGCCCCAAAACCAGCTCCATCTGCCCCCGCTCCACTCCAGCTCCGCCCCATCTCACCCTCTCTGCCCCGCTCTGCCCCCAGCCCAGGCCTACCTGCCCGCAGGGCCACCCACTGCCTCCATGGCCTGCCGCAGATTGTCTAGGTGGCCCAGCAGCGCCATGATGGCCATGCCCTCCGCCCACACCCCACAGCAGCACCTGCTGCCCGGCTGCCATGTCCTTGGCTGTACTGCTCCGTGCCAGCTGTGCTCGGGGGCAACTCTCCTCTGGGGGGGGCTGCTGGTGAGGAGGGGGCTATGGGGGGAGGTAAGGCTGGGGCGATGGCGTGAGTGTGCACAGAGAGGGCTCTGAGTGCCGCCTCTGGCACTTGTGCCATAGGTTCGCCACCACTGGTATAGGGTTTCCTGCCTGAGCAAGGGGTTGGACTAGACCAGTGGTTCTCAACCTTTCTAATGCCGTGACCCCATAATACAGTTCCCATGTTGTGGTGACCCCCAAGTGGGTGTGGCCACCAATAAGAGGGAGTAGGACAGCTAGGGAAAAGTGAAAAAAATGGTGGACAGCGTGGGTTGGCGACCCCCGTGAAATGGTCGTTCGACCCCAAATGGGGTCCCGACCCACAGGTTGAGAACTACTGGACTAGATGACCTCTAAGATCCCTTCTATTCTATTCTATTCTATTCTATTCTATTCTATTCTATTCTATTCTATTCCATTCCATATTTTCCTTTCCATTCCATTCCATATTTTCCATTCCATTCCATATTTTCCATTCCATTCCATTCTATATTCTATTCTACATTCTATTCTAATTATATTCTAATTCTCTTCTAATTATATTCTATTCTATATTCCTATTCTATTCTAACTCTGTTTATTTATTTTATTTATTTATTTATGAGACTTATATACCGCTTTAAGTGCAAGCACTCTCTAAGCGGTGTACACCAGTAAGCAATGTATATATATATATATATATTTACATTGCCCCCAACAATCTGAGTCCTCATTTTACCTACCCCGGAAGGATGGAAGGCTGAGTCAACCTTGAGCCGGTGAGATTTGAACCGCTGACCTGCTGAACACAGTCAGCTAAAGTGGCCTGCAGTACTGCACTCTAACTGCTGCGCCACCTCGGCTGTCCTATTCTATTCTGTTCTGTTCTATTCTATTCTATACTATTCTATATTCTATTCTATTCCATTCCATTCCATTCCATTCCCTATTCTATTTCATTCCCTATTCTATTCCATTCCATTCACTGTCTGGACCTTAGAATTTGTATAACATGACACAAGGCTCCCATCACCAGGACCCGTTAAGTATCATTTTCAGGGCCATCTTTATTATCATTTTTGCTACATTTAAGTATTTACTATTTATCACATTTAATACTATACTTAAATGTAATGCAGGCAGCCCATTTGTGCAGTGACCGAGGGATTACCTGCACTGCCAAGATAACCTCAACTGTCGTATCTCCCAGTTGGTCGCATCAAAAATGACAACGCAACGGTGTTAGAGATTTGTGGGGAAGCATCGAAGGCTGGGTGGAGGGGAGGGGTTTCTGTGGGGCTGGGGGCTTCAGCTCGGACCTCCTCTCAAAAAGCATTTGTTACATTACCCTCCACTGACCAGCAACACTCAAGGTTTTCAGCCTGAAGTCCGTTCCGTACAGGATGACAAAACACAACGCGGAGTCCAACTTCCGGGCTTCTTCTGGGTAACGTTCAAAATCCCTGGAATTCTTGCCGGGCCGGATCTGTTTGATTTCCCTGATGTCCACTGCGGAACAAAGAAAAGAGACATGAGTCAGCTCCATATTTCCACAAAGTCTGAGCTGGACTCTGCAAACAAGGCAGACTTCTTTCTCTTGGTTATTCCCCACGGTGTGAATCACACTTTCCCATGAGGTTGCCAGTTGCAGCCACAACCTGCATCCCCCTTCCCCTCAGCACCATGAGGACTAGATCCCAATCTGTCTGATTAGTCTGGTGTCAACACCGCCACTTGGTTTCCATTTTCGGAGTCAGTTCCTGAGAAGCCGACAGTCAAAACTGGAAAAAAAAATCCTTTATTTTATTGTTGGATATGAGTAATATAAAAGATCTGGAATGGCCTATATCAGTGTTTCCCAAACTTGACAATTTTAAGGCATGAGGACTTCAACTCCCAGAATTCCACAGCCAGCAACGCTGGCTGTGGAATTCTGGGAGTTGAAGTCCACATGCCTTAAAATTGTCAAGTTTGGGAAACACTGGCCTATATAAAGGAAATGTTTGAGATATCTAAAGGTGATTGACTTTAAGAACATTATAAATGGATTAAAAAAACGTTTTGACTAAGAGTTAAAAGACTAGAGGATTAGGTTTATTAAAAGGAATATTTTAAGTTTGAATACATTTTTAATTATGGTAAAAAAAGAACAAAAATTGTTTTGGGGGAAATAAATATGTGTTAGCTTATAGGAAATAGGGATTTTAAGTACTATACTATCTTTTTATTTTATTCTTTTTCTCATTCTCATTCTTCTTCTTTCTCTTTTTAGTCTTATTTATTCCTTAAGAAAGGTCAAAGTATAGGGTTGGTTTACATGAGAAAAATAGATTTAAATATTTAAATGTAATTAACTCTGAGAAAATCCTAACCAGTAAAAATGTTTAGAAGAGGGGTAGTCAACCTTGGCTCTTTTATGACTCGTGGACTTCAACTCCCAGAATTCCTGAGCCAGCATGGCTCAGCTTGGAAACCTCCCTTTCCCCTCAGCATGGCTGGCTCAGGAATTCTGGGAGTTGAAAGTCCACCAGTCATAAAAGAGCCAAGGTTGCCTACCCCTGGCCTAGGCCCAGGCCACTTTATGACTCGTGGACTTCAACTCCCAGAATTCCTGAGCCAGCATGGCTCAGCTTGGAAACCTCTCCCTTTCCCCTCAGCATGGCTGGCTCAGGAATTCTGGGAGTTGAAGTCCACGAGTCATAAAAGAGCCAAGGTTGCCTACCCCTGAAACATTGTGGGGAAAACAAATGTAAATAAGAACTGTAGATATATGATGAGACAACCAGAATGACTAGATAGAAAAGGAATACTATATTGATGTGATTATTATTTGCAGAAATATCAGAAAACCTTTATACTTAATTACCATTTATTAAAACAATAAGAATTGTATTAACTTAAGGTTGGCAAAAGAGAACACTATGGGGAAAAGAGAAAATCATGTAAAAATCATCATGTGGATTATACATTATAGAATTTATTTGTTAGTGAATGTTTGCTAAATACCAAATACTAATGTTAAAAATTAATAAAACATATATTTTTTAAAAAAAAATTGGGAAAATCCACCCTATGAGCATCTATGTAGTTGGTACAGGCAGTGAAAGATCACACATCCACATAGGAAAGTCCAATTAATCTGATTTATTGCCGCTAAGCCTTTGTCTAGAAATCTCTCAATTAAAGGGGAACACCTGGCTAGAGTTAGATAAGGGCATTCAAGGACTTAAGTTCGCTTGTGGCTACGTAGGGATTCTAGGCTGGTGGCTCTTTTGACTCTGCCCCCAGGTTCTGCCGCTCATTCTCCTACAATATGTGAGAAATACTTTTGGGGGGGGGAGGTGCCTATACAACGGTCAGATAAGAGAGGGCATAGCCCATGGCTGCATGTAGATAGTCCTCACTTAACAACTGGTTGCTGAGCAGCTGTTTGAAGTTATGACGGACCTCCCCAGAGCTACTTAGTACCCGTTTCTGACATTCCGATAGACAGATTGTTGTGTGCATGTGCTTGCATTTGGGGGCACTGGCTCACATTTATCCCCCGGGATTCCAGGAATGGGTGAAATCTCACACCGTATGAGCAGGATAATAACGGAAACAGATCAGGAAAATGTAAAAAAAGATGTTGAGACTCTAGAAAGAGTGCAGAGAAGAGCAACAAAGATGATTAGGGGACTGGAGGTTAAAACATACAAGGAACGGTTGCTGGAATTGGGAATGTCTAGTTTAATGAAGAGAAGGACGAGGGGGGACATGATAGCAGTCTTCCATTATCTCAGGGGCTGCCCCAAAGAAGAGGGAGTCAAGCTGTTCTCCAAAGCGCCTGAAGGCAGGACAAGAAGCAACAGATGGAAACTGATCAAGGAGAGAAGCAACCTGGAACTAAGGAGAAACTTCCTGACAGTGAGAACAATTAACCAGTGGAACAATCTGCCTCCAGAAGCGGTGAATGCTCCAACACTGGAAGTGTTTAAGAAGAGACTGGACAACCGTTTGTCCGAAATGGTCTAGGGTTTCCTGCCTGAGCAGGGGGTTGGACTAGATGACCTCCACGGTCCCTTCCAACTTTATTATTATTATTATTAATAATAATAATAATAATAATAATAATAATAATTTCCATATAGTGGGGCCCCAGAAGCCCTGTCTAGGCCAGCAAACCGAAAATGTGCAAAAGCTTTTGAATGCTGAATCTGTAAGAAAAGATTCAAGTTTCTGCAGAATTCAGTTTCGGCTTCACATCCTGTGATTGCAAAGATGCTGTCGTTACAACTTAGGAGGAGAGGAAGAAAGCTGCGTCTTCGGCAAAGTTTTCCTTTTTTCTTTTTTTAAATAATATCTTATTAATTTTCCAATTTTACATTTAACTATTCCCAGGTCCCCTGGTACAACTGGCCAGCTGATCCGTATCGGCCGCTGTCCTCTCGTCCATCTGTTTCCCCTCCTACATCTTATCTACCCCCCCCACTTTATCTCTTTCCCCTCTCCTTCTGCTCATCGGGGTTTCCTTCCTTCCTTCCTTTCTTCCGGCTATTTTCCTGCTCCACAATAAAGTTTAATTTGGGGCCTTCCGGATGGGATGGATTACAATTCCTATCACTCCCAGAGCCTTTAGAATCAAGGTCTTTCGAAATTGCTTTAGGAGAATTCCAATATGTCCTTACTCACTCGTCCCTTTTATTGGCATGCACCTCCCTGGGCATTTAAGATGACAAGAGTGTTGGATAACGAGAAAAAGGAGGGGAGGGAGGGAGGAAGAAGGGAGGGTGGCTGGATATTGGAGGGAGGGAGGGGAAAGCGAAAATGAAAGGGAAAAAGAGAAAGAGAGAAACAGGAAGGAGGGAGGGAGGGAGGGAGGGATGGGAAAGGGAAAAGAGAAAGAGAAGGAAGGAAGGAGGAAGGAAGGAAGGAAGGTGGGAGGGATGGAAAAGGGAAAAAGAGAAAGAGAAAGAAAGAGAAAGAAAGAGGAAAGAAGGAGGGATGGAGGACGGATAATGGAGGGATGGAAAAGGGAGAAAGAGAAAGAAGGAAGGAAGGAAAGAAGGAAGGAGGATATTGGAGGGGGAGAGGGATGGATGGGAAAGAGAAAATGAAAGGGAAAAAGAGAAAGAGAAAGAGAGTAAGAGAAAGAGAAAGGAGGGAGGGAGGATGGGAAAGGGAAAAAGAGAAGGAAGGAAGGAAGGAAGGAAGGAAGGAAGGAAGGAAGGAAGGAAGGAAGGAAGGAAGAAGATGGATGGATATTGGAGGGAGGGAGGGATGGATGGAAATGGAAAGGAAGGAAGGAAGAAAGAAAGAAAGAAAGAAAGAAAGAAAGAAAGAAAGAAAGAAAGAAAGAAAGAAAGAAAGAAAAGGAATCTAGGAAGGTGGCACGTAAGAGCAAGGAAGACTTGGGTTGCATTTAACCTTTTTTTTGGGGGGGGGGAGCAGGCAAGGGCCACAAATGTTGGGAAGAGTCACGCCAAACAGGGACGTAGTTTCCCCCCACTTAGGGAGACAAACAGTTTGAACTCTCTGTGTCTGTGTTGTATGTATGCCCTTAATGACGTAAGACTTCCATAAAACTTTGGCAGAAAAATGGCTTTTCCCTCATTGCGGCTGAAGCTATTAAAAAAAACAGGATTATCAAAGGCACAAAGAGCTCTGACTGCAGGAAAAGCCCCCCCCCCATTTAAGATAACTATGCAAGACACACACACACACACACACACACACACACACAGGTCTTCAGACACAAAAAACGTCCCAATTTCTTTAACAATCCTCTTTCTTCCATCCTGCACTGAAACACAGAGGACCAGAAACCTCAATGTTGATTATCAAAGGGCTTTTTCAGAGGTTAATTCTGCCGATTAGAAGTGTGTGTGTGGGGGGGAAACTGGCCTGCATCTGCCCCCCTCCCAGCACAGAGGCTTGAAGATCAGATCCTCTGCTTTGGGGGTCAACCCCGCTGCTTTTTTACTCTCGGTGTTATGCTCTACGCTAGTGTTTCCCAAACTTGACAATTTTAAGGCATGAGGACTTCAACTCCCAGAATTCTGGGAGTTGAAGTCCACATGCCTTAAAATTGTCAAGTTTGGGAAACACTGCTCTACGCAAATCACATCCGGTCACTTCCTGCCTCAGTTCTCAGAAATCTATTTGGGATGCAGAAGACGCTGTGCGCGCCAAGGAAATGGGCACAATCCTGCATCCTACCAGATGTTTTTGGTCCAGCTGCCCTGTGGTTTCACCATAGCGCGTGGTTGGCTAATAACAAACAGACAAAGAACGGTTGCAGGAATTGGGTAGGTCTAAAAAATGAATAGAAGGACAAGGGGTGACATTATAGCAGTCTTCCAATATTTGAGGGGCTGCCACAAAGAAGAGGGAGTCAAGCTAATTCCTCAAAGCATCTGAAGGCAGGACAAGAAGCAACGGATGGAAAGTAACCATCCTGCCCGAGCAGGGGGTTGGACTAGATGACTTCCAAGGTTATCTTATTATTATTATTATGGATCATCGAACAG